CAGTGTGGGCACTCAGGGCACTCCAAGCCAGGACTGCTTTGTAAGCAGGGCACCCCTGAGAACTGTCTGTCCAGGGTGGGGGTCGGGACCCTTTAAGCACAGCCCTCGGCTAGCCTGAGGCAGCATCTCCACGCTTCTGATGCCCTGCCGGCACTGCTTCCGGCCATCCTTAACCCCGGTTCAGGGTCCACTTAATGTGGACATGCTAGTTCGAATTAGCAAAACGCTAATTCGAACTAGTTTTTTAGTCTGGATGCGTTAGTTTGAATTAGCACTGTAGTGTAGACACCCCAGCACATTATGAAATAGGGAGGAGGGTTACTTTTGCCAGCTATGATACCCGTTTGATAAGGCCTAATGCAGAGCCCATTATTTAACAGTTTCTCCTAGGAAGGGCACAAGCCAAAGCCCAATTCAGAACAGCCCAAGATCCTTAGGGAAGGTTGGATTCAGGTGCTGCAAGTCATCCCAAATGTTATCTGTTCCTACGAGCGGTCACAGTATTTCAGTCCTTATGCTGGGTTCTTTGTTGCCTTTCACCCTCTGCATTTATTTGCACAGGATTTCCTCCAGCCTGACTTTTATGACTACTCTTTTGTATTATCAGAGTGCCAAGATCACCAATGTTGGCCCAGGACCCTTTGCGCTAGGCACCGTACTAACACCGATCAAGAAGTTCTTTCCCCCCAAAGAACTTACAATCCACACATTAGACAAGAGACAGGTGGCTACAGACTGATGACGGAGCACAAGAACACAATTCAGTAGCATTTTCCACTCGCTTTGGCCTGCTGTAAATGACTGCAGACGGTGCAAGGCAACAAGGTACTTAAAGGGAAGTACCAACATTGTATTTGCACTCTCAGCTGTCAAACGTACAGCACTGTTGAAAACAAGCTCCAACCCAACAAATAAAAGTGCACACGGCACGCTGCCTTTAACAACAGGCTTGCAAACTTACCGGGATAGATTGTGAGGTCTTCTGATTGACTTTGACATTCATATGAAAAGCAAAAGTAAAATATGAGGATAAAGGCAGTTTCCAAAATGAAGATGAGCCCAGGCAGGCCACTTCGGAGACTGGGCGAATATTCAGAACCCATTGTACTTTAGCTCTAATGTGGAAAACATCCATACACACTAATCGTCTACTTCCATAAAAATGTTCCAGCAAGCTCAAACCAAAAGAAGGTGGGGAGTGAGCAGTTCAGCACGATAAGAAAGCCCAAGAGGCGTTAGCAAGAAATAGCTCCTTATCTCCAGCAGGTCAGAAGACCCGCTCACAACGACGAACAAGTAATCGTGTGACGTGTAAGAGCCGGCATATTAAAATGGTAAAATACTGGTGTGTCAGAGACCTCTTCACCAGCTACACCATCCGTGGATGAGCCTTATTTGTTAGCTGGGTCATAATGAAAGACCAACATGAACCGAAACGTGGGAGTTTTGCCATTGATTTCAATGGAACCAAGATGTCACCATGAATCTGAAATGCTCCCCATACTGAGAGAGGAAATATCCTGATCGAGGGGCTTGGTTTGTGAGTCAGTTAGGGTGGCTTTGTGCCAATATTGCAGCAAACAGCCTCCCTAAAAGCCGGTGGATCTAACCAGTTTCTAATGAAACCATACAAAATTAATCTGGGGTGGTGTAGAGCGACCATAGTGCCTCTTATGTTCCCCCTCCAGCCCTCCCGTGTACAGAGTGTGGCTGTGGAAATGGGGACATGGCAGGAGCATCCCTAAGGTGCAGTGATCCCCAACTGCTAGGACAGTTATCCCCAGTCATATTTTCATACCACAATTGCTTTTCCATAGTGGGACCATCTCAGAGCCCTGCATTCCCGCCTACCTGGGAGCCACTTCCCTTTAGCAACCTCTCAAGGAAAAGGTGGAGAGCACCAGGGTTCACAGACAGCACTTCATGCAAGCTAAGGCATTCCAGAATCAACATACTCTTGCTGCTCTACTTCTGCTCGCTAGAGTCTGGCTGAGATAAGCAGAATGATGAAGATTGCCAAAGTCCAGATGTGGAGATCTGTTCAGCCTCTGCACCCGCAACACCACTCCGGATGGATACCTTGACCAGCTGGCTGAAAGACAGGCTGTTTCACCACCAGCTGCCTAACCCTCAAATAAACACTTGTGCTTTGCATGTTCAAACACTTGTGCTTTGTGATTGGATTCCATCCTGGGACTTGCCCACTGCCTCCCCCACACCAACAAGCCACTGTTAGTATTGGAAAGAGGAACACTTTAGAAATGAGGGTCATTAAACATTTCTGTAAGCTCTTGGTTGACTTTAAATACCTCCTTGTCACAAAGGAGCATTGTACCTTGCTTGATTAAAGACTGTTTGGGTGTGATGGAGGGATAAGTTAACGAGTCTGTAATCAGAACACACTTTTCACATCTCTCAGT